CCCTCGAGATCAGCCGCTCTCAGCCCTCGCCCCATCCGCTAATGTCAATGCTACAGTAGCTAGTAAGAAGTAGAACCTGTAGATGAATAATACTTGAAGAGAAATAGCTGAATTATGGTTGCAGTGTGATGTTAAATTTCTTTGAAAGTTTTAAACAAAAGAAAACACACATGAAGAAGACATGTCAATTTAGAACTAGTATAGAAGACGACAACATGATTGTGAGCCTCCTATTGCTACTGATCCCCTGGTATTGAGCAATTTCTAAACAAAATACCTCAATAGTTTGGTCTCTAATTTCTATTTTCTATTGCGTATTATTTAAAGAAATTCTCATCACTACCATCAAACTTTTAGTACAGCAATGAATCTCTACTCACCAATCCTTTGGGAAACAAATATTCAGTGGTGAACACCTCAAAGTCATTTTCTCCAAACTCAGGTATACAAAGTGGACATTTTAGCAATATTAGGGCTATGGACCATAGAAGATTTCAGGGTTCTAATATGAGGCAATAGATTGGTGTATGTGTCTCTTCGAAACAAAATACAAGAACAATATACTTAACTGCAATAGTGCACATCGTCGCCACTCATTCATATAGACTACTGGCATGTAATAAAAAAAAAGAACTAAGCAAGCATTAGGTGCTCTCATGTAGAATAAGATGCAAGACAGTGAAAATGAATAGTTTGCTTAATTCGAAAATATTACCGAATTGAGTAAATTCACCCAACTAGGTAATAAACTTTGTTGATTGTGTTGAATTTGGTACACTTTGAGCTACTATTAATTGTGGTTGATTTTATTTTTTGAGTTTGGATAATGAAATTTTCTAGTGACTTTGAAAGATCAACGCGATGATGATTTTTTAAAGATTTTTAACTTTTTATGATTGATAATTTGATAGCTTGTATGGACACTCCAACAATTATCTCACGTGATACAACAATGGATGAAGATGAAAACAAACATATAGGGCTTGAACTTGAAGGCGAGCACGATGATCAACTATCTACGGCAAGTTCTTTTCCTCAAGTGATAATACCCTATTATTTATAGTGTACTGCTATCTAATGACATATACCAAAATATTTGTCTTTTAGCATGAATTGGGTCTTTTTTCATAATTTTTGTTTCTCTATGTTTGTAGGCATCCGAGCATGAGGAGAATGTTGATGGCCCTATTGGTGTCGAAAATAGCGAAGGCAATCTTGTTGTTGATCCATATATCGGAATGGAGTTCTCTACTCATGAGGAAGGTTATAATTTTTACAATGCATATGCCAGACTTAAGGGATTTGGTATTCGCAAGGGTCATACAGCACGGTCGAGAAAGAAAGATGCAATCATATCTAGAACTTTTGTATGTGACAAAGAAGGCTTTAAATTTTTAAAAGATAAAAGAGAAGATGGTCGGAATGTAATTCGAAAGTCTGATACAAGATGTGGATGCAACGCAAGGATGGTTATTGGACTTGATAGAAGTACTGGAAAATGGGTGGTGCGAAGTTTAAACGTTAATCATAATGGTCATCTGTTAACCACCCCAAATCGGGTAAAGAAACACTACTCGCATCGGACATTTCATCGATCTCGAGCGACAAAAAGGTTGATAGATACTCTTGACAGTCAAGGTTTACGACCTTCTACCATTTGTAAGGTTTTAGACGTTGCTCATGCAAATGAACAAGGCTCTCTCACACCACAAGAATGCCAAGGTCATCTAAGAATTAAACGAAGAAACAATGTCGGACATGAATGTGTGAACATAGTTCGTCAATTTCAAGAGAAAAAGGTATCTGATCCTCAATTTTACTTTGCACTAGATTTAGAAAATGATGGGACGATGAGAAGTGTTTTTTGGATGGATGGTAGGGCAAGGACTTCTTACTTGCAATTTGGAGACGTTGTTTGTTTTGATGTTACATATAGAACAAACAATTTAAAATTGCCGTTTGCACCATTTACGGGTGTTAACCATCACCGACAATCTACTCTATTTGGGTGTGCACTATTGGCCGATGAAATGGAGGAGACCTTTATATGGTTATTTAGCCAATGGCTGAAATGTATGTCGGGTATAGCACCATTAACAATCATCACTGATCAAGATAAAGCTATTTGTGGTGCAATTCACAAAGTTTTTCCTCAAACTCGACATCGCTATTGTTCTTGGCACCTTCATAGGAATGCATTACAAAATTTTCAATCAATGCGTTATGATTTTGGTGATGAAGTTTCTGTAAAGTATTACAAATGGTATTGGAGTAAATCAGAAGAAAAATTTGAAAAGCGCTGGAAAGAAATGAGGGATAAATATGGTGCAGATAAAAGGAGCTGGTTAGTTAATTTATACAATCATCGAGATCATTGAGCTCCTGTGTATCTTAAAGATACTTTTACTGCAGGAATGACATCTACTCAGCGGAGTGAGGGAATTAATGCTTTTTTTGATCACTTTGTTAATTCCAATACCGAGTTACATGATTTTGTTAAGCAATATGATAATGCTGTCAGAGCTCGACGATAGAATTTTTTCTCCTCCCTCACTAACTCTACCATGTGCCAATGTCCAGAGCTGACAATTGGGATCAAAATTCTTTCACACTCTAAAAACTGCTGCTGAGAAACATTTTCCTTCATTCGTTTTGCCATCATTTCAATATTTCCTTTCAGAAATGCTTGCTACAAAGATGCATCAATATAAACCATGTAGGGAAACATAATAATAAATACCAACATCCAATGAAAAAACAAGGATATACTTACTGCAAGCCAAGGTCTTGTAACATGTATTTTTCGATCATAACTATTTGTTGTCTCAATCTTATAACAAAGTCGAATAACAAATGCATCAATGACCTACAAAAAATACCATGAATGAGTGAAATATTTATAACTAAATATATACAACATCAACCACTAAACATGACACAATTTAGCACCTACATCGTCACTGAGTTCACCTCCAGTTAAAAGTTTATAAGCATCTAAGCGAGATACACTTGCTTCAGCACACTTCCAAACGTATGTATCACTATATGCAAGTACGTGTGAGAAAATTGTGACTAAAATTAAGTCAATTTAAAGAATTATTATTAGAATAAGTCATTAACATTTACCTGGTCATTTTTAACTGTAGAAAGTTGTCTATTACTTTGTCCTCATAATCAGAGACCAGTGTCTTTCCTGGATAACTGCGAGATCTAGGTATGAAGCCTTCTTCATTTATGAACTTCTTTTTAGGAGTTCCCTCAGGACTATCCAAGATCTGGATAACGTGTTTCTTCTTTGTGACTTCTTTGGGTTGATCTAGATGCAAATATGGTGAAGTAACAAGGGGTCCATCCTTCCTCTTCCTCTTTCTGACAGCCCGTTTGATGGATGGGGTTTCCCTCTTATTATCATTACCACCTTCCTCATTTTGAGAAAAATCTCTAAGGAGTTGAAATTCATATAATTAACAATGAGATACACAAACATTATACAAAAAGTTAAAAAAGCAAAAACTAAGAGAATAGAAACTCACAATTCATGTTGAATATCGGCTTCCTCATTTTCTTCTTCAATATTTTCCTCGAAGTAGGTTTCAACTCACAATTCATGTTGAATATCGGCTTCCTCATTTTCTTCTTCAATATTTTCCTCGAAGTAGGTTTCATTATCCTCTACCACTTTCTCTTCCACATTCTCATTATCATTAGCTTTTGTATCCTCTTTGCTTTTATTCTCTGCATTAGCATTTACCGTATCCTCTTTCTCCTTGTTCATTTTTATGCCTCTAGTATCACGCTCTTCTAATTCTCGTAATTCAGTAGTGAGCTCCTTCAACTCGGATGTCATCCTAGCAATTATTGCAATCAATTCAGCTTTCCGTGATTCCTATAACACCAAAAATATACAAGCATTAGTACTCATATTGTAGTTATAGATAAAGATATTAAAAAAAAAGAAAGGAACATAAAAATAGTGAACTATTAGAGCAAATATGTGAACATACTTCTGGCGATGCCCTATGAATAAGAGGAGTATTCTTTTGGCCAATATCTGTAAAAAAATTTGGTTCTCTGAATAATTTGTTCATGTTAGTCCTCCTCCACTTTCCGGTATTCTTAACACAAAATATCAGTGGTAGCCCTTCAATATCTGAAGTATACTCTAATTCTCCCACTATTTCATAAAACCAAACCTACAAAAAATATATACATTAGAATGTGCATAAACAATAACCATTGTCAAAAAGATTTTTACAAAGTAATTATCATGCAACTCACCATGCATAAACAATAACCATTGTCAAAAAGATTTTTACAAAGTAATTATCATGCAACTCACCAGTAATACGGAGGAAAAACCACCCATGTAACCAGCGCATGAACGCTCCCCTAAGCTCCTCATACTAAGAGACTTCTTCGCCTTATTCATCTCTTTGCAAAGAAAAGTAAACACCGCATGACACCAATTATATTTATTCAAATTGGACAATTGCTCTGCATATCGAAATGCCCACAAAGGACATGTCCTACATGTCCGCGGGCATAATATGAAGCCGATAATGAAAGCCACAATAAGTTTCACACAAGTTACAGGGTCTTTATTAGCAATTTCTATAATAATCTCAGCCATTCTATCGCGGCTCCCCCAAATCACCGCCTTCTTTTTATCATCAACTTTCTTCTTGCCTTTACTCCTACTACCCTTCTTCTGCTTGAGTGTCTTATAATTCTTTACAATTTGGGTGTAAATTGTATTAGCCGCTGTTCCACTCATTTTTATTAGAATTCCCTCCTTTGATAAACCGGTAATTCGGTGAATATCCTCTATACCAAATACAAAATCTTTATTGCCAATCAAAAATGAGCATTTATCCGGATTAAATTTTTGAATCAAGCATTCAATTGCTATTTGCTCATTGTTCAATGATGTCGGTATCCGGAGAAAGTTGTGAAAATGTGTCGTCTCAAGGGATTTCGTATGCCTTTCATCCAATACTATACGCTTATCAATTAAATCTTGAAAAAAAACAAATATTGGATGGAATTCTTAATTGTGTTATCATAGCCCTACAAAAGAATTATAATTTAGAAGGTTAAAAATTAAATATAATAGGGAAAATTAAGTATAACTAATGATATATTACATGCCAAAAAACACGCATATAAACACTAACATTATATCTACAATATAAACTCAACATGATAATAATCATCATAAATTTTACATTAGGAAAGTAAAAAGTGCAAAGTAGTAGGTAAGTAAACATGCATACAGAGATCAGTCAAAAACAAACATGCATACAGAGATAAAAATTTACTTACGAAGAAAGAGTAGCTTAACCAACAGTTTGTACCTGTAAAAGAGTTAAAAATTCCTAAACGGAAAAAAAAAATTCTTCATCAAAATATACTTACGAAGAAAGAGGACCCTTGCATTTAGAAGAAGACTTTGATTTCGAAAAAATCGAGGACGTCGACCCCTTCCTTTTGTTTGAAGCCATGAGTTGGGGGCCAACGGCTACGAGTAATTGTTGTGGGGAGCGAGGACGATCAGGGCCGGCAAATAACCAGAGGCGGGAAGCGGTGGCGGCGAAGTGGGAAATCAAGGCTGGCGTTCTTGGGGAAGTTCTTGGGAGGTCAACAAGACAGCGTGCTGAAGATACCCGGCGGTTGTCCCTCTTTAGCGGATGCCTAACGCCTGCACTCCGCTCAGATCGCCGTGGGGGGGATGGGAAACGATGCAGCGCTGGTGGTTGAAATCGCCGTGGTGGGAGGAGAAACGTGGCGGTGGACGTTCTGCGTGGCCTTCGGGGAGGGGAGACGTGATACATACAATCAGCGGCTTTTTTTCATTTTTAGGGAATTGTTAGGGTTTTTTTTTGGAATTGCTATTAATGGACGGCTTAGATGTATTTGGGTTTTTTTGAATCAATGGTCAAGATCGCGCATCCTTAGGTTGCATCTAGGGAGTCACCTTAGGTACACTTTTCCATATATATATATATATATATATATATACAAAGCAGGGGTGCACTCCGCAAATGTATTTCCTGTCATCTTCTTTGGCGATGAGGTATAGCTTTAGTTGTGTATGTGTACAAAGCAGGGGTGCACTCCGCAAATGTATTTCCTGTCATCTTCTTTGGCGATGAGGTATAGATTTAGTTGTGTATGAACAAGAGTTTATTATTATTACACATAGAAGTGGTAATTTTGAGTTCTTGCTGGGGTTATTAGAGAAGTCTATTGATTTACTTTCAACAAGTGTTCTAGTTTACATGTGTGCATCTGATAGTAATCACATAACCATATTTTATCCAGTATAAATATAGATTTTCCATTAACACTTCAAACTAAATTCATCAAGAAAATTTAACCATCCATCAAACTATGAGCAAGAGGAATAATCTTGTGTGCTAGTTCTAGGGACAAAGCAACAGCCTCTTTCAAAATATTGAGCCAGGCCTTAACTCCAGACACAAACCAAACACCAAAAGAATTTAAGTAGGATACGTAAATTGAGAATTCAATCTACAGGAATATGAAATGTAGTACAAATTGAAACTTTTCAAATTAAACCAAAATTTCAGCAAAATTTATCAATACTAATATGATCCCAAGACTAAAACATACTATAAAGCTCCTAACATTAACGCCCATAAAAATAAAGACTCAAGAAAATCCCAAAATTGATAGAAGGCAAGATCAAAAAGCCCTAGTTAAGAGTGTACCTCAAAATCCAGTGATTGGCTCGATTGAAGACCTGAATGTTGAAATTGCTCGATCGAATGTCTAAACCTGAACAGGACAGACGCTCGGACAAATTGAAGAGGAACTGGGCTCGATCGGAGAGAGGGAGGAGGAACTATGGCTCGATGGAGAGATGAGAACTCGAGCGCTCGAGAGGAGAGAGAGAGGAACTATGGTTCGAGGATCGCCGCCGCTCGCCGCCGCTCGATGAACTATGGAGAGAGGAGAAATCGAGGGCTTCTTTTATGAGAGATGAAGGGAGCCAAGGGACGACAAGTTGGTGTTATTCGGGTCAGCTTCTTTGTGTTATACGGGTCAGGCGGGTCAACCCTAACTTAGCCATCTAATAAACGGGTTAGTTCGGGTTGACCCGTTTATGACCTGATCCATATAACTTGACCCATATCCATAATAAACGGGTCGGGTCTGAGCGGGTCGGGTTGATGGGTCGATTCATAAATTGCCACCCCTACGCGTAACCCGGAGGTGCATACCCTAACAAATTGAAGTAGCTATATTTTATGAGGATAAAAGCAGGTATCATATGATTCTGCGTAATACAAGAACATTGGGTGAGAAACTATCTATTCTTGAATTAGCGCGGTTAAACAAGCTTGTTCAGCCTTAGATATTTTGGAAGGTTGCTCTTCCCTTACCGCAGCCCAACAAAGGGTTAAATACGTGGGTACTATATGTCAAGACATGGATTAAGATATATGTTAATATGTGATGTGATCCTTTGAAAGACAAGCCTAAAAAGTCTGTTGTCTTTGTTATTGTAGAAAAAATAAAAGTGACACAAGACTCCCAGAAAGCTCCCTCACTCCCAGAATTTATTAATGATGAATTTTTTTTTGTATTTATTACAAACTGTAGCAATGATTTATGTTTTTTTATACAAGGAGAAGCAAATACAATCACAGTAAAATATCGCAAGATAGTATTCCAAAATTGCTTCTGCCAGCTTTATATGTCTCTTTTTTATACAAGGAGAAGCAAATACAATTAACCTAAGTGCTCAAGGAAAGGAAACAAATAAAACTGCTAATCTCCTAGAGATGGAAACAGTGAAATATCTCCAGCTAGCATTCCAAAAATGCTCCTGCCAGCTTGTACGTTGCGCAACAGTTATGTCATAATTCCTGATGATATATATCTTCACAATAATTTAAAGTTATGGAGAGACTATAAATATACATTCATACATTCATACAATAATCTAAAGCAAAGAGACAGGGCCTCATTGACTCCACCCCAACAGCAGCTTTATTGCTCTCAAACTGAGAGAGGCAGGGGCTCAAGCTCACTGTTGCACTCAGCAATGGAGAGCAAAAATGGAGGAGAGAAGAAGAAAACAAAGCAAGGAGGGTTCAAGACTATGCTATTTATACTTGGTTAGCGCTGTGAATTTTAATTTTTCATAATCCCACTTTACATTTTGTGTTTGCTTACCGTAATTTAGACACGGCATTCGGACAAATAAAAATTCGTCATGAATTAGTTCTTGTGTATGGATTTGTTTTTCTCAAATATAATAACTGCTACAAACTTCAAATTTGATGTTAACTAGAAATTTCCTTGAAAAAAGAGAATGATGTTAACCATTTTGTGCTTCAATGTTCCGAGTGTTTTAGCCAAGTGCTGGTATTTTCCCTATGTTTTTTTCTTATTAATTTACCAGGAGTAGATCAAAGCACAAAAATTCTAGCATTAAATCCTCAAATAAAGATCACACAGGACATGCTGACTTACGGCTTGCTGGTCATCTGTCGAACTGGCAAAATGTTTAGCATCATGATTCTATACACAACTACTACATCTCTCACTAATTAATTTGTTAGTAGTTCTTCTTTAATTATTGAGGAGTTTTCCATTCTTGCGCACATTGGTCTTCTTGTGCTCAGCTTGACTGCATCCCTGCTCGCTTTCAGGAAATGATATCTGTGATAAGTTTGCAACTGCTGGATTCAATGCAAACATGGTCTCGTACTTGACCAGCCAGTTGCATTTGCCTCTAGTTACAGCCTCCAACACCCTCAGCAACTTGAGTGGCACTTCCAGCCTCACCACCATCATCGGTGCTCTGATCGCCGACTCCTTTGCTGGCCGTTTCTGGACCATCACCGTTGGCTCGCTCATCTATCAGCTGGTACGCATGTACAATCTTAAAACAGTTACATATTTAAGGCTTGTCTGGTATGTTGCAACCGCAATTACAATGCAAATGTCAGTTCCGTGCAGCTGCAGTTGCTGTAAATGTTGTGGCATGCAGTTGTACCTGTAGCTATGGGAATTTTAAAATTTTCTTTTTGAATTCTATTCGGGTGTAGTTGCAATTGAGTCGCGACTTAAAACTCTCTGCTCAAAATGATTGCAACTGATACTCCCATCCAAATTTGCATTTGTCGTGAACACATCTGGGGTATGTCAGCTTGTATGTTGCGCAACAGTTATGTCATGATTCCTGATGATATATATCTTCACAATAATTTAAAGTTATGGAGAGACTATAAATGTACATTCATACAATGATCTAAAGCAAAGAGACAGGGCCTCATTTACTCCACCCCAATCTCACTGTTGCTCTCAGCAATGGAGAGCAAAAATGGAGGAGGGAAGAAGAAAGCAAAGCGAGGAGGGTTCAAGACTATGCCATTTATACTCGGTTAGCGCTGTGATTTTTAATTTTTCATAATCCCACTTTACATTTTGTGTTTGCTTACCGTAATTTAGACACCGCATTCGGACAAATAAAAATTCGTCATGAATTAGTTCTTGTGTATGGATTTGTTTTTCTCAAATATAATAAGTGCTACAAACTTCAAATTTGATGTTAACTAGAAATTTCCTTGAAAAAAGAGAATGATGTTAACCATTTTGTGCTTCAATGTTCTAAGTTATCTCTTTTGCTCTTTGGACGAAACTAATTAGCTGATCCCTTGCGGTTGTCTATACTAGCATACCAAATTTTAGTTATTTTCCTAGTGTTTTAGCCAAGTGCTGGTATTTTCCCTATGTTTTTTTCTTATTAATTTACCAGGAGTAGATTAAAGCACAAAAATTCTAGCAATAAATCCTCAAATATTAAAGATCACACAGGACATGATGACTTACAGCTTGCTGGTCATCTGTCGAACTGGCAAAATGTTTAGCATCATGATTCTATACACAACTACTACATCTCTCACTAATTAATTTGTTAGTAGTTCTTCTTTAATTATTGAGGAGTTTTCCATTCTTGCGCACATTGGTCTTCATGTGCTCAGCTTGACTGCATCCCTGCTCACTTGCAGGAAATGATATCTGTGATAAGTTTGCAACTGCTGGATTCAATGCAAACATGGTCTCGTACTTGACCAGCCAGTTGCATTTGCCTCTAGTTACAGCCTCCAACACCCTCAGCAACTTGAGTGGCACTTCCAGCCTCACCACTATCATCGGTGCTCTGATCGCCGACTCCTTTGCTGGCCGTTTCTGGACCATCACCGTTGGCTCGCTCATCTATCAGCTGGTACGCATGTACAATCTTAAAACAGTTACATATTTAAGGCTTGTCTGGTATGTTGCAACCGCAATTACAATGCAAATGTCAGTTCCGTGCAGCTGCAGTTGCTGTAAATGTTGTGGCATGCAGTTGTACCAGTAGCTATGAGAATTTTAAAATTTTCTTTTTGAATTCTATTCGAGTGTAGTTGCAATTGAGTCGCGACTTAAAACTCGCTGCTCCACACATCTGGGGGCCTTTTGCATCTGCATTTATTGGTCGTACGTGAAACAAGAAGACGGAATCATGGAATTGTCCCAAAATGTCTCATTTGCATGCAATTGTATTTTCTAGCTTTGCAGTTAGAGCGAAAGTATTCACTCAATATTATATCTGATGCTTTATCAACATCAAAAAACTTAATTTTACAGGGAATGATCACTCTCACAATATCAGCTATCCTCCCTGCTCTCCGCCCACCGCCGTGCACACCACCTGACATTTGCCACCGTCCATCAACATTCCAACTCCTAGTCCTCTACTCCTCCCTCATCCTAACCTGCATTGGCGCTGGAGGCATCAGACCCTGTGTTGTTACATTCGGCGCAGACCAATTTGAACTCGACAAGACACGAACAAGCACAAGAAAATGGAACTATTTCAGTCTCTACTACTTCGCATTGAGCGTGTCTCATCTCTTAGCCCTTACTTTGGTTGTGTATATCCAAGACAATGTTGGTTGGGGATGGGGGTTTGGGATTCCTAGCATGGTGATGTTCGTGTCGGTTGTTGTGTTTGTGATTGGATATCCGCTGTATATAAAAATTAAGCCTGCAGGGAGCCCGATGACACGGTTGACACAAGTATTGATTGCTGCTTTCAAGAAGAGGAAGATTGCGAAGCCTGAAGACCCGAGTCTTTTGTTTGTTGATAAGGAATTGGATGCTGATATTTCAACTGGAGGGAGCCTTATCCATACTGAACAGCTTCGGTGAGTGCACATCTCGAGCAATACTCAAGTAGCATGAAATGTTGAATTGGAATTTCCTAGAGTTGAACAGGGCATTAACTTACTTATACATGCAAAATGGAATACGATCAAACTATAAAAACACAATTTTGATGAATTTCAACATCATGAAGTTTTGCATATTGAGCAGACCCATAGGCCACATTGATAACATGTTTTCAGTGAAATGGACAAAATTTAGCTTGTTTGTTTTAGCAGAGAAATGTGAAAACAATAACAGGATCCAATAAAAACTTGCTACTATACACACCAAAAAGAATTATAGGCGTAATACAATAAAGAGCGTGTAATAGTAATAAGGAAATGACATGAGACTAGAACCTCAATGCATTCTTGATACTGAACCCTTAAAATATGACCCTGATCATGCATTTTTATTCTCATGGTTTACAATTTAGTTAACATGAAATGATGAATTGGAGTCCACTCTGAAAGCAAGTCTAATTCCTAAAATTGAACAGATTGGATAAAATTAATCGATAAAAACTCGTGTCTGATGAATCTCAACACGGTTTTATTTCATGAAATTTGTATAATGAGCAGACCCTCAACTACATAACCTTGATAACTTATTACTTTCAGTAAAATAAACATTTGGACAACACTCAGCTTGTTTCTTTCACCAATTTTGCTGATATTATACCCTGAAACTGATATCCCTACATCATGGAAATTCATTCATGGATTGGCCAAGGTTCCTTGATCAAGCTGCAATCATTACTGATGGCGACATGACTGACTCTGGCAAGACAAGGCTCTGGAGACTATCGAACGGATTTGCCCTAGAGCCTTCCTATCCAGTACCTCCCAATCACCATCTGACTCCTCTTTCTTCTTTCCATTTTCCTTGCCCAACAGCGGACGATACAAGTCCTTCTGGTACAGATAGTCCTCCATCTGCAACTTCCAGTAGGCAAAATCCGATCCATCGAACTTCTCAATCTTTGATTTGCTTTCCTCTGCCATGGCTTTCACACAAATTGCTGAACGAAGCTCTGATACCAGTTGTTGGGGATTTCGAAACAATCAATCGAACCCTTGCCCTTCCGGACCTTGTGTTGAAAGTAGGAAAGTAGGAATAAAACCACAAATAAAGATCTAACTTGCAAAAAACAGTAAGGGAGATGAACACACGGATTTAACGAGGTTCGGCAACTTGCCTACGTCCTCGGGAGCCACACCACACAATCTTTTTATTAATTAAAGAAGAAAATACAAGCTCTCAAACAAGGGGTTAATCTCTCTGAGATTCTCTCTCTCTTTGCAGTCAAAAAGCTCTCTTTTTGATGTCTTACAAACCCTAAAAATATTTGGGGTATATATAGAATCCTGAAACAAAACAGATTCCCAAACAGTTTAGGAAACTGTCTGGACGATTCGGAGTTTTTGTACGATCAGTCGCCGGAGAGCATGAGGAGCACGGCAGTGGCGCTGTTCAACCTTGCCGCATCCATCGGTTGGAAAATTATATACTTGTGACTGCGGTGAGTAAGTATACGAAGAAGAGAGGAGATTGGTTGCAGGATGATATTAATAGGGGGAAGTTGGATTCCTATTATTGGTTGGTGACAGTGTTGCAAGTGATTAATTTTGCGTATTATCTTGTTTGTGCAAAATTATATACTTATAAGACGTCACTACTACAAAAGGCTCTATTAGTAATGGTTCAAACCGTTGCTAATAAGCCTATTAACAATGGTTTGGACCGTTTCTAATAGATTAGCAATGGTTAAAACCGTTGCAATTAGTCCGTTACTACTAAGGCCGTTGCAATTAGCTTATAGCAACGGTATACAACCGTTGCAAAAGTAACAACCGTTACTATTAGATTATTTTTTAATTAAAAATAAAAATCCACGTCAGCAAATCTCAACCATTGCTATAGTGTATTAACAACGGGAGGCAACCATTGCTATAAGGATAAACTTTTAAATATCACTGCATATTTTCACAATCATTAAAATGAAACAAATAATAACATTTGTAAATAAATTTAAACGCAATTCTATTAAACAAATAACATGTCTTTGACACATGTTTTATTAACAAATCCAACAATATGCTAATTACAAAGCTTGTACTTCTTTAGACCATAGAGGTTTACATGGTTCCTCGCTCCTTAACACTCTCAAACTCTAAATTTGATAAAGTATGATGATGGACTGTTTTGCATGATGGCAACCAAAATGTTGTTGATCGAATAGTTTTCTTGCTTCAATTTTCGCTTCATCATGAGCCTGCTCCAGTCTGCTCTCTGGTACTGGTAAATGCAGCTTATCCATTCTTTGATTGTACAACTTCATGCACCGTTCCAGAATCGTAGTGTGGCTCCGCCTTCGTCTTCTACTCGTGAAGGCCAACTGAAGTTGCGCACAACTCTAGTTTCTTAATGGTGACTTCCTTCGTCAACATGTCCGCCGGATTTTGACTCCCCAAAATCTTCATTAAATGCAACTTTTCGTCCTCGATCAGCAAGCGTATAAAATGGTATTTAACGTCGATGTGCTTCGTTCTGGCATGATATACTGGATTCTTGGCAAGATGTATAGCGCTCTGGCTATCACAATAAAGAACTCCTCTCCCTTGCTTCAGATCCAACTCTTCCAAGCACCCGTTCAACCAGATCATCTCCTTGCTTGCTTCAGTCACCGCGACATACTCAGCCTCGGTTGTAGACAAAGTCACAATCTTCTGCAGACGTGAGACCCAGCTCACTGCTGTCGACGCTAAGGTATAAACATACCCCGTGGTGCTTCGCCTCGTATCATGATCACCGGCGAAGTCCGCATCCACGTATCCCTGCAGCACCAACTCCTTCCTCCTGAAACATAGTGGCTTGTTCGTTGTTCCCCTCAAGTACCGCATTATCCACTTCACGGCCTCCCAATGCTGCTTCCCTGGATTGCTTGCAAATCTGCTCTCGAATAGTTTTCTTGCTTCAATTTTCGCTTCATCATGAGCCTGCTCCAGTCTGCTCTCTGGTACTGGTAAATGCAGCTTATCCATTCTTTGATTGTACAACTTCATGCACCGTTCCAGAATTACCTTATTGAAGACCTCGACAATAGAATCTGTAGATGGAATTTCCCCTTTGTTCAAGGCTTCGAGAATTTGAAACACCAATTAGAGAATACAATTCAATATAACCATAATAAGCCCAGCTATTATGCTCATGATCATGCTGCATGAAACCGGAATAAGATACTACAGGAAATAAATTATACATCTTAAAAAAGAAAAATGGCAATGCAATTAAAGAAACACCTGCTCCAGAAAGGAAGCGAACTCCTTTTCGCTAAGAGTTTTCCTTGCACAATCTTTGGACGTATAACAGTAGCAACAAGTTCTTTCAATTGCTCCCTCCGTTCGACATATTTCGGTTCAAGCTCACTATCATTCATATCACAAAGTTTTGTTCTTTGAAGATGAGGCTGCCAAACAATCCCACCGCTATTAATGAGCATTGAAAAGCACATAATCATGAAATATCCACACGTATGTGCATAAAGGGAATGAGAGTGATTAGGATCTAAAAATTGGATTTAAGCTTAGATCCTATCACTTAAAAAAGTATATATTTTGCAACAAAATAGATGAACGTGTTCCAAATCATACAAAATGCATGTGACAAATGGTTTTGTGATATCTTTCAAATGGGATCAAAATCCACAGTTTCCAACATCAAGTTGCTTGGTTTACGGCTTAAAATATTTTAAATGTAACAAATTCGGTAGAAAAGACTGTTCACGATTTAGATCAAGATCAGTAGTTTAGTGTGATAATAATGAACCTCCGTTAATAGTTTGTTCAACATGCTATTCTGCTTCAAGTTTGTACGTTGTTCGTATACAGGCAAACATCCTCAAATCACATGATTTTTTTTACTTTCAAAACCTGATGATTTCGTAAGACCTGAACTTGAAATAGGACAAACATAGATTAGCAAAAACAGCATACCTGTGGTAAGCTAAAGGCTGTACTATTATCACCCATAATTGCAAGGGAATCCCTAATCTGGTTTACCTAACAAAACAGAAAATAGAGACACGTATGAATAAGAATCACATGCAGTCCAATCAACATAAAATTTGATGCCAAAGTACCTGATCAATGTTTTTGTCACCTGTAGTAACAAATAAATATGATTTATTAAATGCATTTCAGAAAGCTTGTCCCTGACATGGTCACTGATATGAACATAAGCCACGCAACCAAATACCCGCAAGTGTGAGAGATAGATGGTCTACTCCTATATGTGTCTAATCCCCGAGATAGATGGTGCCTGTTCTCCCTCAGACTTCCGTCCTATCAATCTAATCAATAGCATTTGCAAGATCTTCTCCAAAGTCTTGGCCAATATGTAGGCATCAAAAATTGCCTATAGGTCCCCGAACACAGCTCGAGACGGAGAGAAGACGACGAACGTCGTTATCTGAGTCTAAGAGGATTAAATGCATTTCAGAAAACTTTTGTTAAAATCACATCAATTATGAAATCTAACTAAAACTAACCATCATAATCATACTTTGAGCAAACATGGAGGCATCAAATCATACTTTGAGCTTCATTCACCATTTCTTGAACGGATTTCCCTTCTGTATGAAGGCATCAAATCATACTTTGAGCAAACATGGAACACCAACTATCCATATAGTGAAATTGGAAATAAGTGAAAACAAGACTAAACATCTCAAAGCTGCATGATGAAGAGAGTGCTACCTATTTTTAACAATTTGATATGGAAGTACTTGACAAGAAAAATAGAAAAGCTTCTGAACCTATGTAGGAAATCCCGTTGGATAAGCCACACAAGCTTAGCAGGCTGAAATGCAGCATCCTGCCCCTGTAGAGAGCACCAGAATATCAGCGATTAAAACATCCATGAAATAAATATAAAATTTAACTCATTATACTAAGACAGTGGATTACCTTCACTCTGTTTACCATGCAACATCAGAAGATAACATTCAAACTGTTATTAGCTGAGAATAACAAATTAAGAACACAAACAACAAAGCATTAAGCAATGCAACAAACCTGCCATAGAATTCTTCCACAATTTCAACAGCGAATGACAAATGAGATATGTCAGCCTCACGAATCTACAACCAACATAAAAAATGTAGTCACAGATAGGATGAAAAGGAATATTTCTGGTTCGGTATATATAGAACTTTCAAAGAAGTTAATATGTGCCCATTAAAGTTAAAAATATATGCAAATGATAGAAGATAATCACAATACCCTTGTCTATTATTGACCTTCAACCGAAGCCCTATAAATACAAGCCTAGGGCCTCCTTTCAGCGGGGACGAATTATTATCAAGACGTGGAGGCGCTGCTGGATTGAGGAGTCGAGGAGCACGAATTTCAGCGAAGGCAAATCAGATCCTGGCGAACTTCAGCATAAAGAAGGATCTATTCGATGGATCTGAACCCCGTCCGTCCGTCCCTTGAGATTAGGCTTGGTCTTA